CTGGCGTGCTGTTTTGGACTCGGCCAAAATCGCTTAGGCGGTTACAGAGCCAAATAAGAAGAAGAAGAGAATAAAGAGCTACAGCAACATCAATCATGCTTAAAATTATATGTAGAATTTAATTAGCTATAAATTTCAGCTTAGCTCTAAACAAATTACAACAAAGGAATGAGTAATCGTTTTAAAACACAACTTTTACAGCTAATCATTTCAAATAATTTCTTTAAGTGGCCATCAGCCCTTACTGCAATTGCAACATGCTTTGTATTGCTTCCAACTTACCTTATATATTCCGAACTATTAGTGAAGAAATCAACCAAACACGCCAACAAATATGTTTCGGGTAAATTGAATAGTGTATTCAATACGTAGACGCGCTTTTCATCCAGTTTCAAAAATTTATTCGGATACAACTCATAAACTTGGTGACTAAAAGTAAAAGAAATGTGAGAAAATTCATAAAATTGCTTAAAAAAATCTCGTTTTCACATACTGTTTAAGAAATTCGAAGCCCCGCACACACACCAATATATTGCCGTAGGCGTCCACTTTCAAGAGATTGCCATAGAGTGTATCAAACCAGAGGCCACGCACCGGAAACGAGGGATCATATTCGAATTGCAGAATTTCTTTGGGATAGCCGTCGTTGACCAGACACTCTTTGGCCAAATCGAAACCAAGTTGCTCATATTGTGGCGATTTGTATTCTAAAAAAAAAAGAAGATATATTGGAACAAAATTAATTGAAATTAAATGAAAGTATAATGGGCAATATTCACATAGGTTTAAATTTATTGTAGTTGATTAAACATACATACATAGGTTATTGAAAACATCTACTTTTTTCCTAGAAAAAATTTGCTAATTTTAAAGCCTTAATTGCAGCCACCTCCGCCTGAAAAAACACTACCGAGGTCTGGAAGCTTAAATTTAAGGTTGATGGAGAGCTCCCTGGAAAGAACCACCGCCGACCCTGCGTCAAGTTTCGGCTAATCCATGTAAAAGTTCACCGTTGCCTCCTTGCAACCACTGCTCTCAGTCCACTCAGCCCTTGATGGGATGTGCATGGGGAACGAACTAGCTGATGTCAGGCTAGCTACGCGGATATCCATTTTATCAGAAATGAAATCGAAGCCCAAAGTCTGACTGCCGCCTATGTTAAGTATGTCGTTAAGGACCAGAGTGGTAGTGGTCCAAAGCGTCCTATTTGATTCCATATCAAACGCCTACTTTGCTAGTTATTTGAAATTGAAGGTGTACAGTTTTTTTCAGGTAGTCCTTATTACATAAATTATATAGCCGAAAACGAACAAGGGAACTATATTTATTCGGTAAAAAAATATTTATTTTTAACGACTTTATAGCAATTCGACGAAAAAATATATTCTCCCCAAAAGAAATATCTGGAAAACTTTTAAAAAATATGGGTCTTCTTATCTTCACTATTTTTCAGTTCTCTGCGTGGGCGTGGAAATATTTTTTTTTTGGACCACGTTAATGCACATACACATGTTTTCAATTAATATCTAATCAGTGACATAGACACTTACCCGCCAGAGTGTAGTCCATATCGAAGCCATAGAATTTGATATTCTCTAAGTGCAGCGACCGGTTGACAAAAATTCTGTAAATAGAAAGACGAAGGATACAAAATTACTACATACACGCCTACATCAAAAAATTACTGCACAGTACATATGTATGTATGTATGTATATAATTATAATATATTACAGCAGCCGCTTAATTAAGTTGCGGTCATCTTTGCAATTAATTCGGCATTCACAATTTCAGCAGCTCATAAAAGATTTAATTAGCAAAAAAATGCTAAGAGTAGGGTTGGATTTGTCGCCTTGCAAAAAAAAAAAACGATTTATAAAACTAATTTGGGACACTCTGGGAAAACGACCACATGGGTCGGCCGCATTCGAGCAATTAATGCGTATGCAATGAAAAATGTGTTAAAATAAATCAAATTGTGAGTGAAGGGCGAAGGTTTATAAAATACAAAAAAAATTAACTGAACAAATTCGAAGAGAAAATATGGCGTGGGCGAGTTGCACTGCCATTGAATAAAATTTTGGAAGAGTTGGGGTATAGGCAGTTAAGCAGCATGTGAAGCCTTCTCGGACAGACTCGATGCTATTATCCGCGCTTAACCCTTTCGGTACATCTTTTTAGATTCGGGCTTTAAAAATCCGATTTTTTTATTAAATGATCCTTAATACTGAATATAATAACATTCAATTTAATTTTTTCCAAAATATGATTCTAAAGTGTTTTTTAGAATGATGCCATATGGCATCATTTGTACTAACTGGTGTGGTAAATACGCAAAGATTTTTTAATATGGTATTTTATTTAATTTAAATTAAATTAAATAACACTACAAAAATTCAATAAAATAAGTTGGAACATGCATAGATTTAATAATTCATAAAAAAATATTACCAGTTGCAATTTACCAGTACAAATATATCGTTATTTGCTGGGGCGGATTTCAGCTCCTTCAAATATTATTGATGCCATATGGCATCATGCAAATTTAAAAGATACCACGCGTTTATTAGCATTTTTTTAAATTAAATTCCAAGTTCTAGCAATATTTGACACTATTTTGGAGACTATAGCATATTTATTTGTTTTTAATTTATTGGGTTGTTTGGTAAAATATAGTATTTTAATGTAGACCTTTCTAAGCGGAAGAAAATCGATGTTTTCGTAAAGTTTTAAAATTGAAATTTTTCATCTACTAAGGATAAAAATAACAATACCGTATTAAAATATAGTTTATAAAACTTTCCATTACAGCGTTGAATATAAAAATATAATTTCAGATAAGCTCAATTAAATCTGTGAGTATTCAAAAGAGCATGACGCCATATGGCATCAAAATAGCGAAAGGGTTAAGGTGGCTACACCGAACAGTAATATACTTTTCTTAAAATTTGTCTAGCTTTTATGATGAACTGATTTTCTTAAACAAAAATTATAAAATTGTTTATTGCTAATACCTCAAGCGCCCACTCTTGTAGATTATGTAAAAATCAAAAATTAAATTAATCCATTAAAAGGAATGTGGGAGAAGCACTTCTTTGGGAGTGCTGCATTATTAGGTACACATTTAAGAGGAATGCGGAAGGTTTCTGGGAAATTATTCTGAGAGTACCTCCGTATTACTCGCTTAGGCGATTTGTGGAATGATATTTCAGTGCTTACTCCCCGATTGCTCATTTTGGAGTGGGATGGGATTACTTCTTCTTCCTAGGGCAACGCATGTTAAAGAAAAAAATACAAAATTACGTACTTACATATATACAGAAGGATAGAGAGCTATGGGAAATATTCGTTAAATCGCCAGGCAGTACTCACCGAGCGATCGAACGATGCGCCCAATATCTACTGGCATACTATTTACACACACATATGTATGTATGTATACGCCTGTGCAAAATTGTTTTTGAGATTTAAAATTAGAAATGCAAATGTGATGGGGTTATCATTAGCCGCCATAAGCAATCTTTATACAAAAGTACTTGTATGTACATATGTGCATACATACATACATATGTAATAATATTGGCTTACAACACAAAATTGCATAGATTAAATGGATTAGTGTTACTAGCTCCATCTCAAAAATATTTAGTTTGGTAAGCAAAGAGGCTTTCTTCTTAATAGCGGCTACAGGCAAAGGCTTACAGGTTGCCTTGCTGAAACGTATCAATTTGAAATAAGGAAAAAATTGGCATCAAAAATGTAGCAGTAAACTAATATCCAGCATAAGTACAACAACAACCTTAATAGCATAGACAAATGTTTTACATGTACATACATAGAAAAAAAAAAAAATTAAAAAAATACCAATAGTCAGCAGCGCCCACAAAAAGGTCAGTAAACGCTTGAATTGACATTTAAGTTAGGTGCTACTGCCATCACCGTCACCGTCGCCCCAATGTTCGTTCGATTCTTCCAGCGCCTCGTTAGAGTGGCCACTGATTTGCTGCTGGCCACTTGCCAAGTATTGATTGTCTAGTAAATTTGCAGCGCTTTAAATTTTTGGCAGCAAACATGTTTCCTCTGGAAATCATGCTGATGTCGAGCTTTTGACAGTGTCATGAATTTTTATTTAGGAGCTTACATATTTACGAGCAAAGATTCGATTTAATATATGCCGCCTGCTAATGGTAGCAAAATATAATTATACAGGACAACAGTCGGACGTATGAGTGGATATTGTTTTTAGAATTTGCATACAAATGAGCTTTTGTATGGATATTAACTTACAACAGTGCTTTAAAAAAGAATAGTGAATATAGCGGTAATTTATGCATAATTGAAATCAAATGAAGCATTAGAAGATTTTGAGTAGGATTTTGTGTGCAAGAACAATTTAATTTTTACTTAAAAATTAGCATTAAATTAAATTGAAATAACGCAAATTTACTTTCCTTGGGACTTAGTAGGAAGATACTAAATAGCTTAGAAAATTTCTTATAACAAATAATTTTTAAAAAGTAAGCAAGTCAAAGTTTGGGCGAAATCGAACATCGCATACCCGGCTGTGGTACTCTTAAAATATATCTCTCCGAACTTCCGTTATATATTTAGCAAGCGCATACCGAAAATTTTTGTTAACATTCGGATTAAAAAGTTTGAAATTTTGATGAAAAGTTTTTTAAGTTTGATCCATTTTTATGAATTTTGTACAAAGCTTTCAATAATTTTTTATATGGTTTTTTTATAGATTGAGCTATATTTAAAATGAAAATTAACGAAAACGATTTATGATGTAAAACATTTTGAATATTGTGGTAAAACTAAATTACAAATACTTCTGTGAGTGACTGTAGCTTCTATATAAGATTGCCAAATTCGGCTTTCCTAACAGATGGAAACCCTCTTCAAAAGTAATTTCAAACAAAAACTTTCTTAAATCTCTTCCGCCTGACATTGTGGCAACCCTCTTCAAACACCTCAAACATATTCAAATGCTCAAACTAAAGATTTTTTAACACTCGTGTCAACCCATATTTTAATATATCGTATAACTTGAGAATAATTTATTTAAATTCGACTTTTCAAACAGGTGGCAAATTTCTGGAAAATGTTGTTAAACTAAAACTTTCTTAAACCTTTTTCGTCTGGCACCTATGAATATTGTGATAAATATCTAAATTACCTAATTGCATTAATCCAAGTGGAATTTAATTTTTAAACATATGTCAACCCCTTCCAAAGTTAAGAAATAAAGCATTTTCAAACCCACCGCGGTTGATACCCATATTTAAATAATTTATTTGACTTATTAAATTATTTGAAATTCAATTTTAACAGGTGGCAACTCTCTTAAGATTTCTTAACATTTTTTGATTTGACACTCATATTTTAATACTTCACATAAATTATTTGTACATAAGTTAACTAAATTGGACTTTTGAAACAGGTGGCAATCCTCTTCAAAATATTTTCAAACTGAAACTCCCTTAAAACTTTTTCGTCTGACAACTTTATTGCGATACATATTTAAACTGCCAAATACCCTTATTCCCTTTTTGTCATTTTTGTTAAAAAAAAACAAAGACTTTTCAAAACTATTTCGATTGATACCCATATTGTAATAATTGCCGCTTTGAAACACCAAACAATCCAGTAAGTATACCAGTTCATTAACTAGTATTTGCTAAAGCCCTACCATTTTGAATTAAAAACGCAGTTATACTATATTTGGCTCCTAGTTTTGTGAATATATTGATTTTTTCGTAAGTTGTAAACATTTTTGGTTTTTCTCGCAGGGTGTTATGATAGCTTCACCAAAAAAAGATTATTATTATTTTTTTTAAGCTCTTATCCATATTTTACAGCACGATATGGACACTAAAATGTCAAAACTAAACCAGCGTTGGGACTTCCGAAACTCGATTCGGGAGTAAATGACTCGAAAAATCGAAAACGAAATTTTTGGAGCAGATATATATATATATTTTTTTTTAAATTGTTAAAGGAAAAATTGTTACATCTTTAGGTACTTTTTCACTTCATCAAATTGTTTTCTATACTAACGCACTGTTTTGCATATGTATATACCCTGCCAAAAATGCGACTAATCCGGGATGACTCCGGGAGCAATCGCAAAGGAAAATGCGACTAATAGCACTTTTGATCTCTTTATATGGAATGGACTGTTCGCTTTTGTTCGAGCATGTCCTATGAAGAGACTAATTGGTCCCCTTTATACCCGAACGGGTACAAAAAGCGACTAGTTTTAATAAATAGAACACAAGAAAATATTTAATTAAAATTTTTGTCACTCCAAATTTAGTTTTGGAACTCACTCGCGATGCAAATTTACATCGTTACATATAATCATCACATTTTCTGAGGAGCTTTGGGTATATGTTAGAAATGTAGCAGCAGGAGGTCCACCGAAAGCAGTAAAGTTTTGAAAGAGGTCTACAAGAAAAAATTTTTGGAACCTCTGATTTAGACCATAGTGCATAGTGCGTATAAAATAAATAAAAAAAAAGTTCTGAAAAATATTCAACCATTTTTCGTTTTATCAGCCAAATACAATGTACTAAAAAATTTGCTAGTACCAAGCACATAAATTTCTTAGACCAAATAT